GAAGCTATACAGGGCGACCTCGGATGGTCAAGTTACGAGGCACGCGAGGCAAGGAGCAAGGGGGCCTACGAAGGACGTCTTCGCCTCATGAACGACCAGCGGTGGGCCCGTGTGTATTTAGATACAAGCTATCAAGGGCATGAACACACCATGGCGCAGGCGTCTCCACAATCTGTGCCGCAAGTACTCCTTTTTACTGACCCTGTCCAGGAGGATAGTGAGAAGAAATGGGCAGTAGGAGGACGGAATAGAGTGCAGGAAGCTGAGACGTCGATGTGGCAGGCGGCTATGGTATGGAGAAGAACCCAGCCTGGCCCTATATAGAGCTCACAAGACCACCATCTCCGCCGAACGATTATACGACAATGTCGGCAGTGCGCTTCTGTTTGAGGCCCGTGCTGGAGCGCTCCGTACTCAGGTGTATCGCCGTCACTTCGACCCGTCGTTGGCCGACGGCACTGTGCAGTGCAGGACATGCGGAAAGACGAGAACATTAAACACCTGGTGCTTCACTGCGAGTCGCTGAACGATCGCAGCACCAGAGTCCCCTCTAGTTAATTTTAGCAAACTCTATGGAAAAAGGTACTTGAGTTTTGGAGTAGTCACAGAAGCTGTGACTACTGATGTGCAAATTGATAACAGCTCTGTGCACCGTATGTTCAACCCGCAGGTAAGCACATATCAAAAGAACTGGTTTATCTCAGTCTTTCAGAGGACTCATGCCCATAGCCAGAAATTTTGGGGGGGGGGGGGGAGGGAGACATTTTTTTGAAGCTCTTGAAAAACTTATTTTCATTATTTTTTCTCAGTGAAACACCCCGCCCCCACCCTCCGCTCCGAAGTTTGGGGAGGGGGCGGGCGCGTAGGCACCCCTCAATTAATTGGCTATGGGCCTGGCTCATGTGATAACATCACTCCGTTTGGGAGGCCTGTCATCGGAGCACAGAGGAAACATCCTAGCCTTTAACAAGGCGAAAAAGACACGAGAGAGGGGTTCGCTCAAGCAGCAACTATGAACTTAACACCTAAGGGGACGGTCGCAATCACTGGCGCGCACGCTTGCACGGCAACCAGCCGCGGGCGGCTTGCACACACTTCGCGAAGAGACTGCGAAAAGCGCTACTCTCCCTGGAGGGGGTGTATTCTCTTACTTTAGTATCTTGTAGATCTAGATCGAATCTAAAAGAGTTAGCTGCTAGCATCACTTCGTATAACATTTCAATTTGTTTCATTTCCAATCATTGCTTCGCCCTTGTGGTGAAACTGCGACTTTTTAGCTTTGTACAGTCGCCCCCTTTTTTTTTACTAGAATACGCGAGCGTGAACAAGCGAGCCGATAAGCACCATATAACCGAGCAAAGTGGTGACATGAATGATAATATACACACTCGCGCTCAAGGACTGTCCTCAGCACCTGTCTTTGCTAGGCTGTTTTGGGAACCGGCTCGACTTATTCTGAGCACCATTTACCGTCATCCTTTTTTCGTTTTCTGTAAGCTGCAATCAAGTTATAAAAAAATTGTTTCACTGAATGTGATAGCGACAAACTGTATGAATATACGAGATCAGGCTGCCAGCTAATTTCTTTGCATCCAATACTATCATGTAACTCTAATAAAAAGCCGATGTAAGAGAATACGGCCGCACCAGCAGCTTAGGGGAGACATGTTCTTTTCACACAGTCTCTTAGCACTGAGAGCGCAGCTCGTAGAAGGGTTCAGGAGCCATTTGCGCTGATGTCAGTCGAGATAGCACGCACGTCAGCACTTGCGACCACGTGCTTGGAATCGAACTTCACTGCTCGAGCGATTACAGCCTTGACGAAACCGAAACTATTACTGTTTTGGTGAAACACAGTGTTTTAGCCACATTTTCAAGCACAAGGCTTGATGGCTGTCGCACCTTGTAGTGGGTGCGACTAAATGTGCGTGCTGCAGCACAGTACAGCACTGATAAACGAGTTTGGCGCAACAGGAGTTGTTCAGCGCAGGATGGCGCAGGTAAACAGGTTTGGCGCACAAAGGCACAGGTGGCGCCGCTGTTCCACCCTTATGCTTCGCGACTCTCAAAAACACTGCATGCAGTCACAAGTGAGAAAATATCGACCATTGCTGCCATTAGAAAGTTTTACTTTGACCTAGAGGTGCACAAGCTTGAAGGCGGGTGAGATAGGGGAGCGAGAGAGCGAGCTTCTATCTGAACACAGCGAGGTGAACATTCAGCTTTGCGCGCTAGCACACACTATTCAAACACGCTTTCCCAATGTCAAAGGTCTCAACAGTCACCTTTCTCTGCATCGCCTTGGAAACCGCGGACCTTGTGAATGACGTCGCAGTGCCCTCCGAGGCCAAGAGAAGCAGCAAGGTTACGGCATCACCAGACTGCAGAAGGACAGGACCATGTGTGTACAATTGAAAAAAAGGGCAACAGCGCCAACGTGTGGCCTTGTGCTGGGGAGGATAAGACCACAGACCCGAGGCCTTCACATGCATGAACTACGACAAGCAGATGAAGGTGAAAGAACATCTATTCACTGTGTTCCACTCTGAAAGCACCGACACAAGTACAGATCCGCAGCTCCTAAATATTTTCCGTTTTCTGAGATACTGGAAATATGACAGGCGCTGACACTTTTCTAATCAAACAGTAGGCCGGATTCCGTGGCTTTTAGATTTGTAAATCTCAAACACCATTTCACATCATGAGAAGTTCCAATATCTTGTTCCTTTTAATTAAGGGTATATCAGTATAGCTTAACTGGGTCTGTCTTCACACAGAAAATCAGTTGGGGCCTTATTGAAATTTTTGAGTGGTAGTGGCCTATTAAATAGGCTATACTAGTACCTCCGCTCCTGTTCTTGGCGTGTCTTTTGCTTCCCCCTTTTGTTTCCTCCTCCCCTTAAGTAGCAAAGCAGATGCTACAATCCTGATTCAACTCCATGCCTTTCTCTCATTGTATTCTCTCACTCTCTTCTTCAGCCCAAGTGGGTACAATGAGGGAAGGAGGGGGTAGGCGGCTTAGTAATGTCTAGATTTTCTCCATGCATCACAGATTTCACACAAGATGCAGGACAAACGTTTGATTTGCCCATATGACAGCAGTTGCTAGAATCAAGTGCACGCTGGAATAAAATAACTTGAACAAAAATAAAATATTACAACTTGCTTGAATTTCTATTGAACAGCTGCATCAAACAGCTGCACACCAGACACGTTGCAACATATGCCAGTATCTATCACACTTCCAGTTAACAGCTGCTCCATTGAAGTGTTCTTACAATGTAATGAGGCCTGTAGTATGAGAACAGTATTGCCAGACAATCATTTTCGGTTGGCTTGAGCAAACTTTCGAAAACTTAAAATATTGGAATGAATGGTACACTATATGAATTCGCTTCAACACGAATTTGCAACTTCCTAAATTTTTAAGTATTTAAATCGAATGGTTAGATGTGTTTTACCACGTGATGCATGACCCAGCTAAAAAGGTAATTTCGCTGCAGCACTGGGCCACTATGTTGTAATAATACCCCTGCATCATAAAAATCCACGTTTCTGCGAAGCAATACTTCGAGGTTTAGAGTATGTACATGTTATTAGCACCTCGATACCATTACTTCTTTTATTTTAAATTCACAACCACATTATGCGGGCTTATACAAGCTTACCAAATTTCTAAAAGGTAGTAAGAAATTGTTTACATATTTAAAAATGCTCGCACCTTGGGTTCCTAGGAACTAATGTTGAAGGATTCTGTAGCAAAGAACAGGTAGGCAAAATATGGCGAGAGGGGAGGGGGGGTGCTTGCTCAGGCATTGGCACATGTTTCAAATCTCCTGAAAAATGGAAGGAGGTGCCTCTTGCTCGGATCAGGGCACTCGCTCGCGATATTACGGTATCGCGTTAACGTTTGTCGCTTCTATTATACGGACACCGTTCACTACAAATAAAGTTCAACTGTGAGTTATGACACTGCGCCACCTGTTTTTTTTTCTATTATTTGCTGTCACAAAGTATGCTCACTAAGACCAGCAAGTTGTAAACAGCATACCAGTGATGTGTCAAGAAGCCTTAGCAGAGACCTGCAGAGCAGCACCAAATTGCAGCTGCTGTCAAACAAGTGGTGTACTGCAACCATCCACTGCATGATGTCCCTCTATATGCAAAAAAGGAAAAAAATGAAGTAAACCAATTATACTTCATTAGGTCACGGTCTATAAGGGTGATCTGTATATGAGGCATACCCTAGTGGGGGAGTCCAAGTTAATGTTGTCAAAAAGAGCTTTCACCGTGCACAAACACCTTCGCACAAAAATGTTTTCAGTGGATAGCACTAAAACAAACTGCTCATTAAATGTTGCAAATTATGAAGCAATAAATCATTGTATCAAGTTATTTCAGCCAAATGAAAAAAAAGAGTGACTCTTCAACATGTTAAGAGAGATGTGAATTTGAAACTAAGACAAGAACTTGTTTTATGATGAATCCTTGGTGAAGGGTTGTGCTCAGCGAAGCGGCCATATCAAAATGCAGGAAATTACACACCTGATAAGTAGAATAGAGAAGTGGTTCGCCTATAGATAATGTGAAATGATGTTTTTTGTCCCAACAGATGAAAAATTCAAACTTTTAAGGATGCGCATAACTGATAGGATCTATCGCAAACATTTTAGTGTAAGAAAATGGCAAAGAGCGCACATGTTGCAGCGGGATATACTACCACTGAATGCCTATGTAGAAAAGCTAATCAAACTTATTTTTACTAAACTTTATGAAAAAAAAAGAATGCATTAGATGATCTAACACCAAATGAAAATGAATGGCTGTTCGGTTCATGGGGTTTAACGTCCTAATGTAAGCAGGGCTATGGAAGATTCTGTAATGTGGATCTTTGGATAATTCTGACCACTTCGGATGCTTTAATGTGCCCCAAATCTGAAAGTACACAGGCTTCTTGCATTTAACCACTACTGAAATGCAACCACCACAGCCAGGATCAGACTTATGTCTTTCGGGTCCACAGATATCAAATACCATTCCAAATCATGAGAGCTTTCAACATCTTGTTTGTTTGTTTCCATTAAAGGGCACCCTGAAACATCCAGAGTTCGAAATTCAGTGATGGTGGAGAAGTTGTGCATGTGTGTATAGCATCCACTGAGCCATGAAAATTGAAGTTTATTCAAACAATGCAGTATTAACGGAGTTAGGTGCGTTTGGTTTTTAAAATGTGGCAATCACTTTCCTTTCGCTTTTTCCTTCACTGCCCTTGGTTGGTATCCACTCCCAAAGCCACCCCGCCCTCCCACCGAGTGTTCGCTCCCAATCACGTGGCATTCGTCATCGCCGACGCGCTGCTCGAAGTGCCATCTACTTCTGGTTGCCGCAACCCTATCCCTCGGGAGACAGCGTGCTTGTTGGCAAACCGCTGCTGCCATGCCTAGCAATGCTTGCACGAATCGTGCCAGTATGGACCCTGTGTTATGGGCCGCAGTAGCTGATTCGTAAGTGCGCGCACTTACGCGGGCGACAGGACGAACAACAACAAGCAGCGCAGACAGCTGCATGCAGCCTAACTGGACTGCTCTATCAATCACGGCATATTTGCGTTGTGTGTTAGAGATTCAACCTCTCAACGCCACACAGAGGACTGCAAGGCCCGGAAAAGAGGAGAAATTGTTTTTAGAACTTGTGGCACGCTTGCGGCTCGTAGCGCTGTCCCGTGTAGAATCACTGATCACGATGATATTCTGCACACGATGGGCATTTTTACTTGAAATATGGCTTGAGTGAATCTTTAATTAAGCATTTGAAGGTTCACTCAAGCATATCAAAATTTGTCTATGGATGCCGCATCAAGTTTCCTGTGCTTATGTCAACCTTGTAAGGCCGATAACTAAGCTGATCGGAAATTATGCAGGAAGCTTTGTGGGGTAAAGAAAAGGTATCAAGGGCATCAAGGCAGACTGACAATACTGTAATACTTTATCAACTATAGTAGTACTTTACCAGCCTGGTTTGCATAATAATTAGCCTCCACTTATATGAGTGGCACGGAAGCCCCTTTAAAAGTAACTTTTGATAACACTTTTTATACTGGTCAAGCTGCTTTCTACATCACACATGAAACCTAAATTTGCAGTCGTGACAATCACTACAGTCTGTGCCTGCTAAAGCTACTACAATATCTGCACAAGCCTCTCAAGCAATTGCATGCATCAATGAAGGTGCCAGCTTTGGGGCACAGCCTGCATATAAGCTAAGAGAAAAAAAGTGGTTTTCACCTTGACAGCAGGGGACAACGAATCACTGCAGAGAGCCCCGGAGAAAGCAAGAATGAGTTGCTTGGTGACATTCTCGGCTGGCACCAAGCACTGGAGAAGGGGCTTTGCCAAGGGGGATCCTGGAAATCACATTGCAATTCAGACCCTGAGAACGACTACCAAATTCAGGTGGTCCAATTGCCCATGCCATCGTTTCATGGACTACAGATACAACAAGTGGAATATTAGTGAAGAGTTTTTTAACGATCTCAAAGCTCTAGAATTTTTTAATACAAACGTGGGACCCTTTACACAAGCTACCGGAACCATGATTACAATCAACGATGGTGTAATGAACAATTTCGTATTAATGGATACTCCCTGGTGTTCTTTAACATGCACCTATATCAGAGTACATGAGCATTTTTTTTATTTTTCATTCCCACCCCTTTGAAGAATGGCTGCTATAGCCAGGAACCACACTCACACCAATTACTAAAGCTGATGTAACGAATTGGGAAACTGTCGCACAATTGCAGCACATTGTACAAGAAAATTCGCCGCCGCATTTTGACCACAGAGGCCTACAATAATGGCGGGTTTTTATGCAGTGCACACTGTGCCACAGATGTCCTTCAGCAAATATAAAGAAAAATCACTGAAGCAAGTGCAGGCCATTACCGAACTAGTACTGTGCAGTAAAGACACAATAAGGTTTTGTTGCTGAAGATGACTCAAAAATCATACAGAACACACAAGAAACCGACACACATGTTATCCAGAATAATTAATCATCTTAGCTTCAAGCACATTTTCAGAAAAACTACTGCCTTCAATTTGTTAGCTGTATCTCATGCCTCAATTTATCAGCTACACTTCACTGGAAAGATCTTTCTGATCAAGCTGTCATAAGTGCACACTCCTTATCTGTGCACAGGTCGTACTTAATCTGCCTTGCTTTCTTTTGTTCTCCTGCTTGCTCACCATGTTTTTTTGTTGTTTGTTTTCACTGTACACTTGCTTTAAATGTACTTTTGAGCTGATTCCACTGTATTTCACCTGTTATTTAAACAATGACCCCATTACTCAATGCTCAACAGGGCCTGTAAAATTTTTCTAAAATAAATATAAGTGAAATAGAGCCGAATGCAATATTTAATGCTGTTGAGCAAGAAACAAGACCTCATAAAATGGTAAGCACTGGCATACATAGTAGTTAGTAGTAGTCCTTCTGTCTGTGGTAAGTGTTGAACAGGCAAGGCAATCGAGCCAGGTGACCAGATAAATTGCATGCCAAGCACAAACCTGTCTCAAAGATATCTGATCCCACCGTGGGAAAGCGATTAGCTCTATGTGCCAGTGACCTTCCTCACATACACATTGTGGTTAGGTAGTTATGTATTCGACCTTTTTTCATTAAAAATTTCTTGGTTATCATTCATTTTTCTGCGGTCATCAGGTGTATGGCAATGATGGAGTAGCAGCTGTTGGACACAAAAAGCTGCAGAGCTGAATCAAGGGTGAGTCAACATTTTTACAAAGGCATTGTTTTCATAAGGGAATAGAAATTTCCCCTGATAGTACGCTGGTTTTCCACAAACGCTTCCCATCGTCTACCATTCTTAAATGATTTAAATATTTCTACTTTATAGTCTTACATGCTGAACGAATTGTGCAATTGTGACGTGTGTGAGGCACACTGTACAGGTGGACTCTGGATAATACTTGATCACCAATTATTTTCTTTAACATGCATGTAAATACAAGTACACAGGCATTCCTCCCTTCTGAACTTGTTGAAATGTGACCATCAAAGCTAGGGTTGAATCTGCTGCACCAAATTCAGCAGAAAAAAAAAGCCGCAGCCATTAGGATACTGAGACAGGTAAGCGATACCACAAATCAGTCTGTCTGCATGTTAGCAAAACAAAAATTTTCTGTGAAAGGTGGTAATGTGATGCATTATCGATTTGAAAAGCACAAGTAACTATGGTGGAAAAAAATGCCCGTGACATACACAGCAGTGACAAGAGAGTGCCCTTAAAAACTGCCATACAAATAGCAGGACTCTGCCGACCCACAGTGTTGAGACTCTGGCACATTCGGGCAGATACTCAAATTCCCAACAAAGCACATGATCTCGAACTCACGCAACTTCTTTTGTTTTGCTCAGCAATGAGAAGATGCAGAAAACTTACGAGTGTCAGGTGCAGTGATGACTGTGCTCAGCTGCAGCATGTGATCTGCCGAGAGACCAGCTTCTTTGGCAAGTGCCCGCAGCTTGCGAATGTGCTCCATCGTTTGCCCCGAACTCTCAAGCTTCCCATTTCCTACAATGCCAGATGACAGTACGTTATAGCTAAATTTTTACAAACTGTTCACATCTCGCGTCAGAAGTCACAAGTCATGGATACGATGTGTTGCTGTAATATGCCTTGAATTACGAAGATGCTCTGCAGATATGAAGTCAGTGTTACTGCATTTATGAATAACCAATTTAGCAAGTCTTATTTAGAACAAAGGCTTGAAAGCTCTCTTCTCCTCATGTACAAAAAAAAAGAAAAGACAACATGTACATCAATATAGTACTTTGAAATTCTTGCAGTAGCATGCTATGACACATGCAAAATGACTACATCTGCTTCAGAATATTCAATGAATAATCGATAAATAAAAATACCAATGCTTGCAAATAAAGCCTGCAAGGAAAGGCCTGACAAAACAATACGAACTATGTTCCAGCACATAAATGGCAGCAATACGCAAAAGCATAACGCACAAATTCCGAATAGTTGTCAAAATAATCAATGCGAGATATCACAGTTGTGAACGTGAAAGTAAGCCAATAGATTTAATTAAAGAGAACCCAAGAACTAGACGTGTTGCTGTCAATAACTAGAAGGAAGTAAGAATGAAACGCACGCTTGGTGCATACCATGCCACGTGCACCAGCCCGCGCAATAAACAAGCCACTCAATTTTGTAAGGAAGGCGGTGAAAAGAGCCATCTCTTGTCCAGATATCTGTCATGGGATTAGAGATATGTTGTCAACAAATGACAGTTCGACGTCACGGGGCGATCAACAGAGTATTAGATGGAAGCTAAGATCCCTTGCCAAAAAGGGCAGGTTTCACGTCGTGGCACAGCCACGGAAAGTACTTGAGCACGCATTCCAACGTTCGACGCTTGCGCCGGACCTCGTTAACCCAAACCGCGTACGAAGCGTACTTTGCGGGAAGTACCGGAGCCGGGATAAACATCGAATACGTATGCAATAAACGCCTATCATTCACTAAATGACGAGCAGCGTTTTCAACGTAATAATTAAGCTGGCAGGGACGCCACTCGATCGCTCACCAAGTCTCACAGCTTCTTGTATCCCTCAGCACGAAACACTCTTCTAGATTCCATGGTTCGGGCTCCACTTACCAGACACGAGGAAACGTACGGCTTTCTCAGCTCGAGATGTCATTGTCCACGATTGCTGCTTGAAAAGTTGCGCATAGAACAAACTAGGCAATGAAAACAAACTGCTTGACGCTCGCGCTTAGAGTTTTGAACATGCAAAACTACTGTGCAAACACGCGTTTGATGACGATGTTGATGGGAAATTGGCATTATCCAACGCCGTTGCTTTATCAGCCATATTTACCAACAACGTTTTTACCACGAAAGTAAAGATATGCGTAAAGCTCTCACAATGCAGAAAATTTTTAAATACGGTAAATATTGTTAAAATAGGTTGTGCTTGAACGCAGTGTTTGCATGGTTTTAACCAGTAAAGTTGATTGTTTTAGACCGCGCGAATTTTGAAAACTTACGGGTGCATGTGAAATACTGAAATTGAAGAAATATGAGGCTAAATGCTCCATTCTGCTTTATTCATGCCTGACCATTATACTAATAATTAGTTCTAAAAGTGGTTAGCTAATTTTGCTCCATGTCATCCCCTTGCGGAAAGATCTATGCCGCTATGTTCGACGCTTCGAGAATCATTCCGATATCAAACGGATGTAAATGGTGTTATGCCAGCGAGTCCTCGTCAAACGTCCGTGCCTCGGAAAAAGGCAATCTGGGTCAAGGCCAGCCCGCAGTCCGCCCGACGCGAACATCTCAACGGCGTGAACACGCGCGGCGCCTCTCTCGCCCACGTGCATTGAGTCAGCGGCGCACGTGACAGCGAGCCGGCGTCCTCGTGTCTGGTGGTCTGACGCATGGCGCGGCAACCCCATTGGAGAAATCTGCCCGGACGACCAGCGGCGCTTCTGATTGGACATTTTGGTTGGACCCGGTGTAAATAAAAGAAGCCCTGCGGCGCGTCGCGATCGGTGGTCCTACGAGAGAGGAGTCCCCATGTCGGAGAGCCGACATGTGTGTGAGTCGGCGGTCTTAGGCGAAAAGTTGACCTATGTATTAGAGAGGAGAGCTCGGCTCTTCGAGTCTCTGTCGGCCCCAGTGCCGAAATTGTAACGCCTCTGTATATATGCTGTACATAAACCTTGTTTAACTCATTGTCGTCTCGTCCGCTCGTCTTATTAGCTCTGCGCAGAAGCAGTCGCGGGCTGAGAAACATACGCTACCAAACGGCTGGTGACCTTTCCGGTGGTGTTGAAAGCAGTGGCGCCTTCGGGGCCGTGTCGGCGTCGCCGTCTTTCGCAACAGTGGTGGCTTCGGCGGGATTGGTCCGTCTTTCGCAACAGTGGTGGCAGCGGTGGGATCGGCCGGCGTCAGCGACATCGATGCGGTGAGTGCCTGATGTTTTCCCCTCAGTTCACCAGACTACTCTAGCTCAGGTTGTAGTAGTTTAGAGAAGGGCTGTGTGAAGCATTGAAGTGATCTTTGATCGTTTCAAGCCAAGTCGAAGCGCTTTGAAACCAAAGTTAATGCAGAGGGGGTAAACACGGGAGTGTGAAAAATTGCTTGCGCGTCTTGCTAGTAGGCTTATAGCGGGTACGGCAAGTAGATTCTTAACAGGGGCAAACAGCAAGAGGCTAGTGTGAACGATGGAGAACCTTAAAGTGAAGGAACTCATCGAAATTTGTGAGGAACTCGGCATTACTTTGGGCCGTGCGAAACGAAAGCAAGCGATCCTTGAGATCATGAAGGATGAGGGAGTGTCGGCTGAGGAAGTCGATGAGGCCTGGGCGGATATCAAAGCACGCCGCGAGGAGGCTGAAAGGCGAGAAGTAGAAACTCGCGAACGTGAAGAAGCTGAAAGGCGCGAACGTCGCGAGCGCGAGGAGGCCGAGAGGCAAGAGCGCCTAGAGTTGAAACGACTAGAATTGGCAATCCTACAGTGTTCGCAGGTGCCTAGCGTAGCTTCTCCGACGATTCAGGTCAGCGGTTTTAGAATTCGGGACCAACTGCCACCGTTTGTAGTAGGCGAGGACATGGCGAAGTATCTCGTCAAGTTTGAACACGTCTGTGAGCGAAACGCTTTGGAGCGGTCTCTTTGGGCGCAGAACCTGTTAGCTCTTCTTCCCGGCGAAGTGTCCGACGCATTAACTTGCTTGTCTAGGGAAGCGTTTGAGAGCTATGACGAGGTTAAGGAAGTGCTCTTGAGACGTTATAAGTTGTCACCCGAGGCTTTCAGGCAAAGGTTCCGGTATGCTGAAAAGGGGAATGAGTCACACGTTGACTTCGCGTTTCGTCTTAAAGCCGATTTAATTGAATGGCTCAAGGGCGAAGGTGTTTATGACGACCGCGATAAAGTGGTGGAATGCGTTGCATTGGAGCAATTCTACCGCTGCATCGAGGAGGATGTCAAACTTTGGCTGCAGGACAAACTTGGTGAAGTACAGCTAAACAAGGCAGCAGAGTTAGCTGAGGAGTATTATACTCGCCGAAAGTTGCATAGCAGGGCAGTGCGCGTTGAAAAGGATGAAAGAAAAGAGGGCTTTTCAAAGAAACCTGATCAACGGAAACCCGCTCCGCACCGTAATTTCAAAAAGGACCAGTCTCTTACGAAGGACACTGTAGAGGAAGGGAAAACAGAAGCGGAAAAATCGAGTGAGGTTTCTAAACAACGCACTGATACCACACGGGCGTTTGAATCACGGAAGCCACTAATCTGCTACAACTGTAAAAAGGAAGGGCACATCGCGAGAAACTGTCAGGAAAAGTTTGCCTTCGCAACGATCCGAGAATCAGAAAAAAACATTCGGTTGTTGGAGCCGTATCTCCAAGAAATTAGGGTCAATGAGAAAACGTGCCGAGCACTTAGAGACTCAGCGGCAACCATGGACGTTGTCCATCCTTCATTGGTGTCTCCGGATGACTTTACAGGAGAATGCGCGTGGATCAGGCAAGTCGCCGAGGAGCAGAGTGTTCGCTTACCAATCGCCACGGTTGTCATTGAAGGCCCGTTCGGTAAGCTTCGCACCGAAGCGGCTGTGTCTGCCGCGCTAAACGATCGTTTTCCTTATCTTTTCTCCAACAACTCGGAGCAGCTCCTCAAAGAGCAGGGCAAATCGTTCTTCCCCGGCTTTGCGTGCATGGCCCTCACGCGATCGCAAGCGCGAAAGCTTTCGCGGAAGCTGGACCTGGTTCCATGCGGTGAACTCTCAAGTGACCTTGTCGGCGGGTCGACGGAACCCCAGAAAGGAAAGTTTCCGCATGAGTCATGTGAGCAGTCACGCGAGCGGCCCGTCGCCGACACGACCGGCGCGGTTTCCGGAGAAAGGGGAGACGACATGGCGCCATTGAGTCAGAGCGAGAGGGCTGCAACGCTCTCGCCTGTAGCGGAAAGTTGGAGCGAGCTGCCGAGAGTTGATCGAGAGACGCTCATTCGAGAGCAGAGTGAGGATCTCTCGATTGAAGCGCTAGTGGAAAGCCAGAAAAACGCGGCAAAAGTGCTGTCGAAGGAGCACTACGAGAAATCGGGGAAGAAGCGCGCTTTTGAAGTTGATAATCAGGTAATGCGGCTGCAGCCATCCAAAAGGAACAAGCTTGAGGTTGATTGGGAAGGGCCCGCCAAAGTATTATCGAAGCCTTGCGATTCAAATTATGAAGTGAAATTAGGAAGGCGGCCGGACAAAATTTACAACTTGATGAAACCACACGTTCAACATCAAGCGGTTGTAAATCTGTTGTTGAATGCTTCAGAGGAGGAGGAAGCAGAAAATTGGAGTTCTAGGGATATATTCGAAGGGGGATCGAAAGTAATCTGGGAGGAGTTGAACCTAAAGCCTAGGTTAAGTGAAGTCCAGGAGGAGGACCTGAACAGGATTGTTTCCGAGTTTGGATACGTGTTCTCGGACCGTCCCGGAGACACGACGGTGATCGAACACGAAATAGAGCTAACTTGTGAGGAACCAATCCCTAGCAAGCCGTATCGTTGTTCTCCTGTGGAACGTCGCAAGTGTGAGCCGCTCTTGGTGCCGCATAGGTATCGTCGCCTAAAAGTGGCCGGTTACTGAGGTGGAGCACGTTGCTCCACAGCGCAACTTTGACGTTCGCTAAAAAAAAAAGGAAAGCTAAACGCTAATGGAGGTGCATTGAGCAGTGCGTTCTAGCTAGTACCTTCTCAACCTTTCGGTTTCTGGCTGGCGATTCGGGGCAAAATTTTGACCTCATCACGACCTGGGCTGAGCGCTCTCGTTCAGAGTGATCTCAAGGGGCCAACTTTATGTGGTATTCTAATTCGTTGCGTTGTTGTAATTGTGAAAAATTCAAGTTCTTACTTTAAGAGTCTTGTGTCCCACATGTGCCTCTTGATGTAGAGGGAACAAAATTCCGATAGACACGTAGGTAGGTATATGTTGTACTATACTTTGTCTGGTGTTCTGTCGGGTGACCGAGGGCACTTGCGTGTGTCGTGTGTTGTCTGTTGTCGATCCGTTCTTGGCAAGTTGCACAACCATCGACAAGTGCTGAAACCGAAGATGGTCAGAAGAGACGAGTGAAGCTGGTCAGCAAGTTGTGGCGACAAGCCAGTGGAGCTGGGATCCGTCGTCAAAATGGGATGTGTTCCCGGAACAGTCTGGAGCTGTATTCTCCCCATGGCCCTGGAGGCGAACCTGGAGGGACCTGGCGAACGAGCGCACCTGACATCCGAGCCCCGTGGAAGCAGCTCGTCTTTCCGGTGCATTGTCTGGCGGCGGGGGTGCTGTTATGCCAGCGAGTCCTCGTCAAACGTCCGTGCCTCGGAAAAAGGCAATCTGGGTCAAGGCCAGCCCGCAGTCCGCCTGACGCGAACATCTCAACGGCGTGAACACGCGCGGCGCCTCTCTCGCCCACGTGCATTGAGTCAGCGGCGCACGTGACAGCGAGCCGGCGTCCTCGTGTCTGGTGGTCTGACGCATGGCGCGGCAACCCCATTGGAGAAATCTGCCCGGACGACCAGCGGCGCTTCTGATTGGACATTTTGGTTGGACCCGGTGTAAATAAAAGAAGCCCTGCGGCGCGTCGCGATCGGTGGTCCTACGAGAGAGGAGTCCCCATGTCGGAGAGCCGACATGTGTGTGAGTCGGCGGTCTTAGGCGAAACGTTGACCTATGTATTAGAGAGGAGAGCTCGGCTCTTCGAGTCTCTGTCGGCCCCAGTGCCGAAATTGTAACGCCTCTGTATATATGCTGTACATAAACCT